TTTTAAATTATTTTTCTCTTAAGTCTAATTTTTTAAATACATTTCTGATAACATTGTTTTCTATATGTTCTGTTCTTATTTTCATTATCTTATAATTATAAGTGTTATATATATATATATATATATCAAGTATATATTTGCTTGATTTTTGCATTTCTAAGAATAAACAGTTATTTAATCATAACTTGTTAGTAATAGAATAACAAGAATTCATAAACAAGTCAAATATAGCTTACTTGGATATATTAGTTAGTTTATTAATTTTAAATTAATTTTTTTTACCCAAAATTCTTCCAAGTCTGTTAAATGCTCAATATTTTCTATTCTTGAAATTCGATTTGCTGCCATGTCCAATGTTTGTAGCTTTTTCTATAAGATAAATTTATATTTCTATATATATAAGAAAATTATCATCATAAAGCAAATAAATAATTTATTCTTTACTTACATTATTTTCTAAGCCCTCCATGCACTCTATACCATTATGACTAAGATATAATTGCTCAAGATTGATAAGATTTTCAAGGCCCTCTAATTTCACTATTCTGTTAGACTGAAATGACGAATTTATTTTTTAACATAACACACTTCTTTATTCCATATTTATTAAATTTTTAAATAAATTTGTTATTATTTTGTTAAAATTATTTTATTTTTACTACAGTTATTAAATCTCATTTCTAAAAACACAGAAAATATACACTTAGTTATTATTATTACACAGCAGATCAATTCTGGAAATCATTTCTGAGAATATACAAAAAAGAAACTACTTAACATACACTATGTTTGCAAAAGTATCTGGACACTTAAATTTTACTTTTTTTGAAACAAATTATTATTAAAATTATATTATATTCAATATGATTTATTTACAATCTTAGTATCTAGTGAGTTGGTTTCCATGACTACATCAATACTTCTTTAAGAATGGAATCTACAGGTTTCCTGTAAAGTTGCTACTGGAGTTGCCTAGAAGGATGGGTTTTATGATCAAGATTTATTTGGTACTCCAATCTGTCCCAAAGGTCAAGATCAGAATTTTGAGTTGGCAAATTCAACTTCACAATTTTGTTTTCCTTGAACTAGGCCTCCAGACATCTTACAGTGGCACAGAGCATTGTCATGCTGGATCAGATACAGATCCATACCAAAGTACTGTCATATTGTAAAGACTATAGAATTATCCAGAATGTCAATGTAGGGACCAGATTTTATAACACCACAGTCATTGATCCAAGTTCTATCAAACTGAAAAAATCCCAAATGATGGCAGAACTGCCACCAAACTTAACTGGGAAGAATAGTCTAATAGGAACTGTTCTGGTAAAATGCATCCATCATATCAAAAAATAACGAAACATGGTTCATCACTCTATAAAACCTTATAAAGTCTTATAAATCCAAGAATGACAAGCATAATACCACTAAGCTTTTAGGATATTAGATGAATTGAAATCTGGCTTGTGTGCAGCTATTCTACCATGAAAACCTACAGAATGTAATTCAATTTCTCTGTAGAGTGTTCTTGTACATACAGATGTTCCTATAGCACTTTTCAGGCCAGCCAAGAGTTCTGATGCAGATGATGTGTATGATTTAAAAATATTCCTCATCAGGTTTCTTCAGGCTGTCAGTAATTTTGCAATGTGTTCTGATGAGTAGTTTTGCTACATAGTGCCATTATTCTTTTATCTTCAAATCATATTATGTACTTTTGACTTTATAATGTTCAGACAACTTGCAATGTTCCATATAGAAAGATTATTAATGTGACATCCAACATTTCATATTTAAATGCCCTCAGTTCTTTTCTAGTCACTCAAAATGCACAGATGCTTCTCTAGCAGGACAAGTCATTAATCAAGATGCCTGAAAGTATATTTATGAAGTGTTGAAAAAGGCCAACTAATTATGTATCAGTCAGATATCTGGACATTGTTAACACAATGTACATTTCAATACAGAACACACTAGAAAATCCTACATTTATCTAAATACTTGAAAATCATTAAGAAATTGAATGAATCATTTGAGAATATGCATTAAATAACATTAAGACAATTATTTTTTTAATTATACAGTAGTCTTGCAAACTCAACTTAATATGGACTGAGAATGTGATGAGTTATGAAAAATGACAAGTTTTTATGACATAGCAACCTTGATAGTGTAAATAGCAGTTTTTGTAAAGTATTATATGTGCAAATTCATATATAGTACATATTAATTAACTATCAATACTGACTATACTATTTACAGTTAAATTTTAATTTTAAAAAATCCAAGACAATAGAATATAGAGCCAAACTGAGAATTCAAATAATAATGCAAATTAAGAATATCTTGAACAGAAAGAACATGTTTTTCAATAGAAAAAAAAACAAGTAAAACATCAAAGCCATTTTTGGGATGAGACTATGTCTTGGAGAGCACTAGCAACAACACATGCACAAATCTCGCACTTGCACCTATTTGTAGAAACAGTCTCAGCTTTTCATATTTTCTGCTGACTGGGTTTTTGGTCCCAACTACCTACAAGTCTGGTTTATTTTGTGTGTGCATGATTTGGGCACCAAATACTCTGTGCCAAATTGCAACTCCTGAGATGTACTCCTTCATACCTCTAAGGTGTGCAGCTGTTGACAGCACCATGATTTTAGAGGCGAGACATAGTCTCGTCAAATACAGAAATGTGAAAAACTAATGCATTACAATTATAACAATTGTAGACCTTTCAATGGCATAAGAAAGAAAAATGTATTAATTACTATCCAGTTTCAAGAAAACATTCTTTGTTACATATCTCACAGATTATATTTTTTTAATGAATTATTTAACTTTCCAGTTCACTTATCTATGGAAAAATTTTCACACATCTCTGAGCAATGAGACATTTTATTTCAAATACTTCTACAAGATAACAAAAATGGAGGACATGTAAAACAAGAATAAGCTGTATATATTTTGTAGAAGACTTATTTGAAAAAATAAAATAAAATAATAATTTTATTTTTTTCAAATAATATGGCCAATACAATACTGAAGAGTCATTTTCTTCAACGATGTGAAATACATAACTTTTCAAATAATTTTATAAAAATAGTTTTTTATAGTTATATTTGCCTTAGAATTACCCAAATTTAATCCAGTTCTCATATTCATAATTTATTTATCTAGAAATAGATTTTATTTTAGATTACACTATATAGAAGTCAATTATTTCTCTTTTTTTAAGCATTATAATTATTCTTACCTGAATACTGATTAATTCCAGTTGAACAAGCGAACCTAGATTTTGTAATTTTGTTATTTTGTTTTTTCCTAAAAATAAACTTTTCAGATTGTCTAAACCTTCTAAATTTTCAATTACCTGTTTAAGACAATTTCTCAATTAGAATCTTAACTTATGAAATCAAATTCTTATTTTCTACGTAAATCATTACCCGTATTTTGTTAGACCCCAATTCTAGCATTTCTAGATTGGATAAGTGATTGATATTTTCAATCTTTGTGATTTTATTGTTGACCAGAAACAGTTTCTTTAGCTTTGTAAGACTGTCCAGATTTTCTATTTTACGTAGACGATTAAAGGAAATGTCCAATACTCTATAAAGAAAAGTAAAAAAGAACTTTTAGCATATTTTTTAAATATTTTCTAAACAATGTATAAATTATAACTTACTCTAGATTTACAAGGGCATCCAGATTTTCCAGTTTAGTAATTTGATTGTCATATAATTCCAATTCTTTCAAAGTTACTAGATTATCCAAATTTTTAATTTCAGTGATGAAATTGTTTCGTAATTCCAAAACCTGCATAAAATAAATCAATGAAATAACAAAAAAGGATAAATCTTTTTAAGAAATAAAAACAATAATATACCTCAACACATTGCAGTGTATCTCCGAAGTATTTAAGATCTTTTATTCGATGGTGATTCATATGAACTTCCTGAAAACCATTAAGACTTTTAATCCTAAAGTATATAATTCTGTATTATTATTCTATTGTTATTTAATATAATTTTTCCTTATTAATTTAGTTTTTACAGTATTTAAAATATAAATAGGAAATCAAATTTAAAAATTGCTGATCTTATTAATAAAAGAGAAATTTTAGTAATTCAAACACAAAAATTTGTAATTTAATGGATGACAAGTAAAATGGGCAAAGGAATTTTATGGTTTTAACTTTCAATAATCTGCAATCTAAAAGTTGGCTGAAGAGGGGCAAGGAATGCCCAAAGCATGTACAAATGAGATGAACACGTATCAACTGAATAAAATTTAATGATGAGATTTGCCAAGTGTCTGAATAAATACAATAAATAATTTGTGTTTGAATTACTAAAAATTACTGGCACAGTTTCGAAAATACCAGAAAAGAGAAATTTTGTTTGTAGCAGCACTATATCTGTGTGAGGCCTTTGTAGACATATTTGTATTTGGATTGACAGTATCACTAAATTTTGTTTTGTCTTCTTTCAGCTTTTTAATTAAGGAAATTTATCTTTCTTTTTATTTATATACGTTCCTACAAAGCCTTTACTATCGCATTTATATAAAAATTCATAAAAGCCCAAAAATTTCTCGTGAATGAGAATAAAAGTTTATTTTAGCAAACCAATCTGTGATGTTACTGCCTACAGACTAATCTGTCATTTAAAACACAACACATTTAATTATGGAAATAGTAAATTAATAGAAGAATTTAATTATTAAGAACATATGATTTAAATGACATGCAACTGGCTAAAATCGATCCTGGTATCATTACCAATTCAATCAGCGTCTCTTTACGTGAATATCAGTAATTTAATACTTCCAATATAAGACCTAATGATTTAAAAATACTTACAAAGTATTCACAAAATCTTATTAATATTCTCTCTTCAAATAATACTTGAAATTGTTTTTACAGACTGCTTTAGTAAGAATTACAGAATTACTGTTTGTCATTTGAGAGAAATTTTTTAATGTTCAAAAATATTTCTGTAAAATACAATGAAACAAGTCTAAGTAAAGTCCATACACAAATAAAACAAAACTAATTTCATTATGAGAAGATTAAAAGAAAAATGATGAAATTCATTGACTCCATTACAAGCAATTCACCAACTAACAAAACCATGTGTAGTTTCCAAATATGTTTAATGTTTTCTGAAGATGACCCAAACATCACAGAGTACATTAGCTAGTATATGCAGGGTTCCTACTCAAATTTTTGTTTTGAATTCCCTGACTTTCCAGGTGCATAGGAACCCTGTATATGCATAAATTTAAAGACAAAAACATATCATTTTTATATATATATAACATCCACATTTTTAATATTAGGTTGGGGAAAAAGGAATCTATTATTTTGTTGCGAGATGGCTGTTGTGATATATATCTCGTAAAGTATTGATGAAACAAGTTCAGACTTGTGATCATTGGAAAAGTGACATGCCATACTAAAAAAATTCTTTTACAGTTTTTTGATTGGTCAATTCAGTTGTGAGTTATAGGGTGTAAAAGATGGAAGCTAACAATGAGAAAATTCGATGTTTTACAATTTTGCTTCAATAAAGGTGAAAATGCATGCCAGGCAGCTGAAATTGTGAATGTGTTTATGGTCCCAATACTGTCATAGTCAATTATGCACAATTTTGGTTTTGTCGATTCCGTTCTGGTAATTTTAATGTTAAAGATGCACCTTGCACAGGTAGGCCCATCATCGAAAATGTTAGTAAAATCATGGAAATGATCAAAGTAGACCAGCATGTTAGCAGTTGTAGCATCACCCAGGAGCCAAAGATTGACCACAAAACAGTTTTAAACCATCTGCATAAAGCTGGATTCAAAAAGAAGTTTGATGTTTGGGTGCCATATGAATTGACACAAAAAAACATGATGGATAGAATTTCCATCTGCGAAGCCTTGGCCAAACGGAACAAAATTGACCAATTTCATAAACAGATGGTGACTGGGGATGAGAAATGGGTTACATATGATAATATTGTGCGAAAATGATCATGGTCAAAGCTCAGTGAAGCAGCTTAAATGGTGGTCAAACCAGGACTAATGGCCAGGAAGTGTTTGCTGTGCATTTGATGGGACTGGAAAGGAATCATCTACTATGAGCTGCTTCCATATGGCCAAACACTAAATTCAGACCTCTATTGTCAACAATTGGACAGTTTGAAGCTAGTGATTGACCAGAAGTGGCCAGAATTGGCCAACAAGAGAGGTGTTGTGTATTATCAGGACAACATCAGGCCACACACACACCTATAGTGACTTGCTAGAAACTCTGGGAGCTTGGTTGGGAAGTTTTGATGCATCCACCTTATAGTCCAAACCTGACACCAAGCAATTACCATCTTTTTTTATCATTGCAAAACTTCCTTAGTGATAAGAAATTGGCATCAAGAGTAGATTGTGAAAACTGCTTAATCAAGTTTTTTGCCAATAGGGACCAGGGCTTCCATGAAAGAAGCATTATGAAGTTACATTTAAAATGGTAACAAATTATAAACGAAACGGTGCATATTTGAACCAAGTCGGACAATCCAAACCATGTTAAATAAAGTCTTGAAACAAACATTAAAATAATGGATTTCTTTTTCTCCAACCCAATATTAATACTTTCTGGTCTAATGCAGTGTTTCACAACCAGTGTGCCATCACAAAGGTGAAGGTATGATGTAAACTTTAACATATTCTATTAATTTCTAGTTTTATTTATATACTTTTATCACAGTTGCTGTGTTTCTTATGCTTGTATTTCATTCTCTGCTGCAGCATTGATGAAATAAGATGATGATTGTTTATTCTTTATTACAAGCCATACATTTTTATGTATTCTAGAAATTAAATGGAAAATAAATTTGCTCACAGGTTTCAGTCTGTTTAATAATTATAATAATAATAGGTTTGTGTCATTATTTAATTCTATTAATAGTATCATATCATAAGTTTTTGAGGAAAATAACATTTTGGTGTGCTGTGTTGAGTCATAGATGTGCTGCAAGAAGAAAAAGGTTGCAGAACACTGGTCTAGTGAACCTGATGACCTTGATGGACAAGTGTCATCCATCAAGGTCATTTTTCTATAAAAGATAGATGACAATTTTCACTTGTTCACAGCTTTACACATTATTCTATAGAGCTGTATGGCTTAGATTCATCTACATTTGACATAAGTAGTATAGCTAATGAAAAAACTATCATTTTCTGCCAAGTGGCAGACATTATATAATATTTTGATATTTTATAAAATGGTTTTGGACAGAAGTATGAGTACAGTACTTCTGTTTGAGATTACATTTGCACAATAAGTATATAATATAAGCTTATTTAAAGCCAGATGATCTGCTGAATATCAGGTTATAATAAAATTCTAAATTAAAATTAATTTATTATAATTATTAAAAATTATCAAAAGATGATGGTTTAACCACCTATTCAAGACAAATTACTTCATATGTAATTATTAACTAAGCTTAATTATAGCCTGATAATTTGGCAGATCATATGGCTTTAATCAGAAATTGGGGTTTTGGAGTTGTTGTTTATAAGTTTATGTATTCTATGAGCATAATTTATGAGTGTATATACACTGAACAATCACTACATTGCTGCCTAATAACAGGTTGATTCATCTGTCTGGGCAATCATACTTTGCAAACACCAACTCTGCCAGTGCCAAACATCCTCTATTCTTCACAGGATCCACATCTGCTTGAACAGTTTTGTCAGTTGGTGCACAGTTCACAAAGAATTAGGTGACAACTTCACCATAAGTTCCATTATATCCTAAACATGTTCAATAGGGTTGCAGTCTAGTGAGTTTGAATTCCACAAATTGCTCCATTGTCGTGTTCCTCCAAGGTATGTCGCTTGGTCATTATCGAAACATGTCTGCCTTGTCCACTGTTGTACAGGCAGGTAAGCTGTTCCACTGTGGTACTTCCTCAGATATCAGTTTTGACATATGACATTCACCTCTGGGATCAATCACATGTGGCTGGCCACTGTATAATCTTCTGGTGGATGTTTTTGCATGATCCATCCACTCAAGTTACACCCTGGACATCATGTTATGAGAACAACCAACAAGTGCAGTTGTCTCAGAAATACCAACACCCGCCCTCTGGACTCCAACAATCTATCCGTGCTGAAAGTCACTGAAGTCACCCCGTTTGTCCATGACTGGCAAATATTGCCTACTATGCAAATGACAGATCAATAGATCATGATTGCAGCAAATTGTCATGTAGCAATTATACAGCATCCCTATATCACTTCTGAGCTGGTGCTGGCATGGTGTTCCTAATGTGGTAATCGTGAAGTGTATATAAACATACTGTATATACACACACTTGTATAAATTTAAATATATGTATTTAAATACGTAATATATAATAATATATATTTTAGGCAAATAAATATTTTTTAAAAAGAAAAAATAAGATGTTTTGACATACATACAGGATTCCTACACAAATTTGTTTTAAATTCTATGACTTTCCCTGACCAACTTTGTACAAATTCCCTGACATTCACATCCCTTACAATATGGAACATTAACAAAATAAAACAGCATTTGACTTACTATGCACATATGCTATTGCTTCTCTAACTTTTTAATTATTTATTTTTTTCTAATTAACAGATATATATTTTATAACTGCTGAATTATTAAAACTAAAAATAAGATGTTTTATTAAAGTAGTTTATTCTGTTATTAGTCCACAGCCATAAATCTACATGGCTTTGAAAAAAAAGAAAAAAAAAAAAGCAATTGTTTAATGATTATTTATTAACAAAGCTTGTATAATCTATGTACAAAAGTATATATTTATTAAATTTATCTATTAATAAATTTCCTAAACTTTATAAAATACTAATAAACTGGAAAAAAATCAAAAATTGTTTTTTATGCAATCAAAATTATTAAAATGAAAAATAATACCATTTAAATTAAAATTCCAATTAGAAGTTCAAACTATTTATAAAAAATTTAATTTTTGAGTCTATCTATTAATCCATTAACACAACCACAGAAGTACCCGTAACATTGGTTTGAAGAAAAACTTCAATAAAAATGTGAGGCCGGGACCACACACCCCCCGGACAGAAACCAGCTGTCGAGCTAAAGTCAATATATCGGTGACTTATTACGTAAACAGGACCAGTGTGACCAAGGAACGGGGTGCGAGACAATATAATTGTCGCATTCCAAACCTAATTGACAGATCTGCGATCATCAATCGTGAGAACGAGTGCGGGATCGTCCGCCAGGTAACTTTGGACAGTCACCTTACAGAGAGTTCAAAGCGAGACCTGCTGACACTCCTGTAGAGGGGACGACGGCTGGGACAGCTGTGTCTTCTCTGGGACAGAAATTAGGTGAAATTTATGGGTCCGTCGTCTGGGAAAAGGCTTGACCCAACTCTGGAGGGGAACGGCCCGGACAGGGATATTCGGCAACCCGCGGCCTGAATCACGTCCCTGGCAACAGACCAGGGACCAATAGAATCGCAGGAGACTAACATTCGGACCAATCAAAATCTCGGGATTTTGGGAAGAAAAAGATGATAAAAGCCCAAGATCCCAAGGACACGGGGAGGTTGGGAGCAAACAGTCCAGTCGACTCAGCTCGGGACTATCGGGGCAAAAGGCTAACAAACTAAGTACAGCAAAAGAGTTTAGGGACCGAACTTCCCGTCGTAGAATTCTCCACAATCCGAATTAAGAAATCAACTTCCACCGGAACACCGTAAACGCCATGGTTCTTGTGCTACGTGGCCCACTTCCTCCTCCAGCCGCCGAAAAGGAAAACCCTCTCCAACCTATACAGGAGAAACTTTTCCATTGCGGGACTCACGTGCTTCCAGGAAGGACACTCCATCGTTTGGTACGATCTCTTTTCGAAGGACAGACCAGTGTTTCTATTGCAATCATGTTTTAAATGAATAAACACAGTAAATTCGTAAAATATGGTCTCTGTGTGAGTCTCTCTGCATCCAGCAAACCACTACCCCCATACGAAAAGGGCTTTCTCGTGTCATCCTGAAAGATCACGGGAAAAGTGAGCATGTTCACCTTTAACTGAAAGGTCAACATTTCCTCACATTGGGGCCAACTATTCCTCGCAGACCCACAAGTGGTGATCACAGTGGTGTCTACAACTCGTCAACCCCACAAAAACAAAAATAAATAGGTAAAATCTCACAATATTAAACATGATTAAAATGTCAGCCTTTTATTTGAGGTTCTGACATTTTTACATTAAAAACAACAAGTCTTCTCACCATACCATCAAATAGTTATCCAATTTTTATCAGGTTCAAGCCCTCTGGTGGTTGATATGAGTCATCCTTACATTTGCATATTGATAAAAATTCATGGTGAACTCAGGATATGTTTTTCTTCCAATTAGAAGTTCAGACTATATAGCTATATTATATAATTATTTATTTAAAATTATTTATCACTTTTTTATTTTGTCAATTTTGTAGAAATTTTGGCTCCTGAAAATATTCTCCACCTCTTTTCACAAGTTGTATTGTACCACATTACTGCTTGCAGATGGCTACACTTAGTGAAGCAATTGTCAGCAAAAAAATTCAACAAGGCAGCCAAGGAGGCAAATTTCCTGACTTTCCATGACTTTTTCCAAACACTAATGAAAATCCCTCACTTTCCAGGTGCATAGGAACCCTGTACATATTACATAATTTTTATGCATATTTACATTAGATAAATACTTCAGTATGTATAATATTTTAAATATTAAAAATACTGTATATATTTAAATTTTAATCAATATCAGTTAAAACCTATACAGAGTGATTCAAAAGTGATGGATAAAAATTTACAAAGTGATCAATTATTCAATTTACAGTAAAAAACGCTAATATACTCTTGTCTGATTCTCAGAGATAATCAAGTTCCAGAGAAAAATCTTTATTTCAAATCATACATTGTTTTAAGTCCACTACCACTGAAAAGCAACAAATAAATAAATCGGCTGCTGTCATTATTTGTAAAAATGTAGTTTCTTTTACAATGAAACTGCTGAAGAAATACATCAACGGGATCTGAACAACTTCATAATGTACATGCTTCTATTATCTGTAGATGTGAAGCTAGTGAAGGAAATAAGTTTGAGCATTTCTTATAAACTTAATCTTTCTTTAAGTAACAATTAACTAAATATAATCTGTTTCTAAACTAATAAACAGTAACTGTGGCAGTTTATACTAATTAATGTTGAAATAGTAAACTGATTTGAAATAAAGATTTTTTTCTGTAGCTTGGTTATCTTTGAGAACTGGACAAGAGTATATTAACTCTTTTTACTGTAATTGAATAATTCATCATCCCATAAAATTTTATCCATCACTTCTGAATCAACCTGTATATTTATTCCAAGTTACACTTGGAGAAACAGAATATGTAACATACATTATTAATATAAATTCTCAAACAGTACAAAATATTAAAAGTTGTTACAAATAATAATAATTAATGTTTTCATTAGCTTACTATTGCTTCTGGATCCACTTCAATTTCCATTTCATTAGTATCTTGATTATCATCTATTAAATAGAATAAAAATTTTATATGTTAATGATTCTGCATTTTGCAATTACCTATCATATTATTGTAAATTTAAAGGTTATAAAACTTGTTTAGTTTGTGGAATATGTACAAGGCTTTAATCTACTTTGAATTCAATTCTATATAGTAATTCTCAAATCAAAGTTTAAAAATAATTACACTACATTACAATATGAAATAATCTACTTGTAGTATTATTTACTATTAATATATTAAACTTGAAAATGGTTCAATTGATCCAAAGATATTTCACATCTTGTAAAAATCTTGCTCAAATAAAAGAGTTTTTGTTATAATATTTTGAAAACAACAGAATTAAAGATTAGAACATTAAAAACTGCATTGTGATAAGTAAGCTTAGCAATTGGTAGTGCTTCACTACTTTTAATGCAAGTAGTACTTTCAGGAAAAACATAACCATCAATCAGGAAATGATCTCCTAATCCATTTAAACTGAATTTTTAATCCCCGCTTTGCACTCTTTTTTACTTTTTCACATCCTTTTTCCCTTTTTACTCTTCCTTCAATTATCAACATTTCGGCATTTTTTAAAGCTTTCGCACAAAATTAAAAACGAAATTTGTTAAGTTTGATTCCAGTATTGACAGTTAAATGATTTCTAACAGATTTTTCCATCCACTTAACATTCAGAAATTGAAATTATGCTTTTGATTGGCTGAAAAATTTCAAATGTAAATAGTTTTGAATTTGAAATCAAAAATTACTTTTTCCCAAAATTTTAAATTTCTTGCTGTGATTGGTTAGAAAAAAATCAATTGACTAAGACTAATGATGAATTTTAAAAACAGTATAAATAGGCAGTTTCCTTTGGCATCTACTTTTTAACAAAGCTCTGTATCTTTTTATATTTTAAGTATCTATATATTTATATCTATCATATTGGCCCAAATATTATGCAAGTACGATAGCTTTCACTTGGCAGCTCTTTTAGTTTATCTTGTCAGCCCACCTGCTTTTCCTGGGTTGGCAACTCTGGTATTGACAGAATTAAGTAATTTTTTCCATAGACAACTGTATAAAACTTTATATCCATAGTAATTTCGATATAAAGTTTTATACAGTTGTAAGTTACATGTGTTACATGAGAAACGTGTTGAAACTGCCTGATGACAATGAATGAGTCATATGATCTAACTACAGATGTCAACTGATTGTCCAAGTAATCTTTTGGAAGAGAGTATGTGCAGGTTGCTGTGTTGAAACCAGTGATTGACATGGAAGTTATTCAATATGCAACTACTGTCAGCCACTGTTGGATTTGCCATGTCTCTCATGATCAAAGTTGCCGGTCTGCATGTTTCACACTTAGTTGGGCTAGTTTAACTGCAAACCATGCTTTATCTCTTGAGGTTGTGGACTGTGCATTTTTGGGCTGATTTTCTTCTAATTTACAATTTGAAGAAAATGAAATTGTAAATTATCCAAATGATAACCTAAATACATGCATTTGCAGCCCAATTTGGCAACACTGATTTTCGACATGAAATGTTACTCTTTAGTAATTGATTTTTCTTGTAAAACTGTGGGGGAAATGAAATGTTAGGTAATAAATGGGGAGGAGTATAAGATGTGTAAGCAAGGAGGATGAAGGGGTCAAAATTTCCCTAAAAATGCATTATATAATTTATGAAGCTGCTTCTCTTTGCACACGACCAAAATGATAATTATGCTTTTTCCAGGCCCAGTTTCAAATGACTGATTTAATTGTAAAATATTAGTTTTAAGAAATACTAATAGTATAGAATAAATAGAAGGAAAGATTTAAGAAAACTAACTGTAGAATATGCCAAAGAAGATATTGTTAGTGATAGAACTACCTTGAGGTGTAATATTTGTGACATGAAGATTACTGTTGATGAAAAGCACAAGTCAGAAAGTGTTAAAAAGCATATTTTAACTAAAAAATACATAATACTTTACAAAATGTTATGTTCAACTGGTATAAGTAGAAAGATAGATGATATTATCAGAGCTAATTCTGTTGTGTTTTTGTAGATGAAAAAACAGATGATATGAAATGGCTGATTTTGAATATTTCAGTGGCCCAACTAATAGGCAAACTAATAGATGCAATACTATTAAAGATATACAAACTACAAAAGTGTGATTTTGCCTATGTAAGAATATTTTTAGTGTTAAAACATAATTCAATATAAGCATATTATATTGAATTCTGTTTTAACACTAAAAATATTCTTAGAATTAATTCATAATTTTCACAGAAGATTTTAAAAGCAAAATTTATTTTTCCTAAATTCTTGTAACAATTGTAACTGCTTGTACTTAACCTTTCACTTATAAATGATTTATTGGTACATTTTCATAAACTTTTTTACCTGCTTCAGATGCTTCTTCACTATCTGTATTAGTATTTTCTTGATTTTTTCCTGTAAATAAATAAGTTTAAGAATTTTAAAATGTTTTTAAATTTATTAAAAATACAGTTGTCCCTTGATAATTTGACAGGTATGGGACCAAAGGGGTGTCGGATTACCAAAAGTGTCCGGATTACCGAAAGTAATTACATATTTGGCATTCTACAATATTCCTACATTTTATGAGTAAAATGCTGCCTAAATTAATATGGAAATGAAACACCCATTTCGGTTAACTAAAACATGTTTATTAAAAGAAATATGGAAGCCAATAAATGTACATACAGTATATATAGGCATAAATAATACAGTATGTACAGTAATTTATAAACATTATAACTAAATGCCACAATGTAGATAGATTAAATATGTACAGTACATACTGTGCTCACACTTTGAAGAAATCTTTGATTGTCTTTTGCTTTTTCTTGTTTTAGACAGTCTGTCATTGCTTGTTCTTGTATCTGGTTTAACATCAAAATTTTCTCAGTCATATGCTCTCTCCTCGCACTAACGCATCAAAGTGTTTGCAGCCAACACAGCATCATTACAGTTGATGGTGAACGATTTTTCCTCCTGTGCTTCCTGGGTCACGTCTTCATCAGATTCTGTCATTTCCTTAATTATTTCTTCATCTGTTAAGTCAGCATTGAGATTGTCATCTAAAATCCACCTTTGTAAAGTTTCACTTGATTCTGATGAATTAGTCACTTCGTTGCAAATTTGAAGGGCAGCATCTAGTACAACTTGCAGAGATTGGTCTTTGGATTCTTTGTCAACTTCTATTGGAAGGAGTGGGTTATCGGGCCAAATATTTTCCCACGATTTAATCAATGTGGTAGGTTTGACTTGCTGCCAGGCAAACACAGCATTGATAATCACATCTTTGATGTTAAACTTTTTCAAAATTGATGTGATGTCAGCATTAGGTTGACTGACAATATCCATAAGGAGTCACTTCTTGTAGTGTGCCTTGAGAGTTTTGATAACGTTTTAATCCATGAGCTGAATCAATGCAGTAGTATTTTTCAGTAAGTACATTGCCTCGATATATCCATCAGCAGTTTTGATTTTTAATTCGTCCTTATCAGGATGTCCTGGAGCATTGTCTAACAAGAGGAGGGCTTTCACTGGCAGTTTCTTTTTTCTTAGCTCATATTTAACTTGCAGGACAAAGCTGTTCTTGTACCAAACCAGAAAAACATCTTTTGTCACCCAGGCACAGCTTTGGCACATGTATGTAACTGGTAGTGTCAATATTTTAACACTTTTGAGGGCATGAGGTTTTTTGGACATACCCACAACTAGCAGTTTTAACTTGTGAGTTCCTGATGCATTCGCATATACCATGAGAGTGATATGTTCTTTCTGAAGTTTTCTACCAGAAACTTTTTTCTTCTGGAGTGAGAAATGTCTTTGTTGGAAGTTGCCACCAGTTTAGACCAATTTCATCGGCATTATAAAGTTGTTCAGGAGTTAGGTCTAATTCAGTGATCTTCTTGTTTAAATTCTGAATAAATTCAGATACCTCAGACTCATCTGCACTCAACTTCTGTCCACTCATCTGCAAAAAAATCATATTCCGTACCGTTTTTTGAAGTTTTTGAACCAGCTGTGACTAGCATGAAAATCAGTTTTCTTTGTCAATTCCTGATAAAAAAAAAACTGAACTTTAATTTTTAAAATGTCACCTGAAATAGGAGCATGTCTGCTTCGTTGTTGCTTAAACCAGATGTGCAGAGATTCTTCAACTTCAGGGAATTCACTCATTTTAAGGGTTTTTCTGTCCCTAGAATCATCCTCTACAGATTTCATAAATTTTTCTATTTTGTCTTTGTTTTTCATAATGTCATAGACTGTAGCTTGTCCAATACCATAGAATCTAGCTATCGCAGTCAGAGTTTCACCACACTCGCACCTCTTAATAATGTCCCATTTATCTTTTAGAGTCAGCATTTTATGCTTTCGTTTTGAACTTGTGCTCACCATTGAACTGAACTTTCTAAACGAATTAAATAAAAGTTTGGCACGAAAAACCCTACTCCGACTGTTCAAACAGAACTGCTCATGGAAAACACAAAATGTGTTTCATCGTGTAAGAATTGGGTGAGGAGATTCATGTCGTGACATGCTTCTGTGCAAGCAGAAACGTAATGGGGATGGGGACTACAGTGACTTTGATGGGACTACTGAGCATGTCAGATTACATAATGTCAGACTATCAAGGGACAACTATAATGTGAAATTAAAAGTAAGTCTGTTGTTAGAAAGAAAAAAATTTTTATAAATTGAATTACAGTAGAGCATCGTATATAAATTGAATTACAGTAGATTATCTGACTCAATTGGGGACTGGGGTTGGTCAGATAACTGAAAAAACGGATAACTGAAAAATATGAAAAAATACATTATTAGTATAGTATATTAGTATATCTCATGTAATTAGTATATTAGTATATCGCTATTAACCTACTTCGCGTTGAATTTTCATCGATGTCAAGCCTAACAAAAATTTTTTTTAAATAATAATTGTCGCTATTGTATTGTTAAAAATTAGAAAATTAAGCCTCGTTTAAATACTGGCTCCCTTTCATGGTCGAGCCATGTTGCCAGCTAAAACACGTAAAAATACTATTAAAGTAGCCAAGACATAGCCAAATATTGTAGCGCCACATCACTACAGGACATTCGAATTTGCCAACTAGAATGGTCGGTTAACCGATGTGACGGTTAATCGGGGGTTGGATAATTGATGCTCTACTGTATTATTATTAATTTGATATAATTTAAATTTTTAAAGAAATTTCTTATAACATTAAACTGAACACAATAGAATTCAATGAAGAAGATCCCATATAAGAAGTATAAATTCAAAAGTCCCAATTTTTTTCCTCATAAGAGATGTAAATTTTTCCTTTTATAAAATGTTCCTGTTTAAGAAAATTTCCTGCTTAAGTAGAATGATAGATAGACTTGAACAAGACTGAAAATGAACAAGCTATCATATGTCTATAATAGTTAGCCAATCAAACTGAATCCTACAAACTCATTTATGCACTACTAGCAGATAAGCCTGGCGTTACTCAAAAAATAAAGCAAATATTAAGATTATTAGATTATTTTGTACTTCTAACCTTCCATTATATCATACTATTTTATTTATATTTGCAAAAGTTATCTAAATATATAAAATTACTTGTCCTGACTGACTGATGACTCATCATCGCCCAGAGCAAACTGCTGAACCTAGAGGTGAAATTTTGTACACAGGGTACATCATGAAAATGCACACTAAGGAGGGATTTTTCCAGTGGCATGCTGTGACATTTGATGATAGGGAAGCTGTGTTTCTGTAAGAAGCTGACATCCAGGGGCAATCAGTCAATTGTGCGTCAGTGATGGTCTAGGGCCCATTCGTATCGTTTATTCGATAAGCCAGTAAAAACCGTAGACTTTTCTAAATGTATTTAAATATCACAACTACATTCCGAATTGCTAGCCACGATATAAGGGCTACAATTAAAAATAAAATAATAAAAACTTACTTGGTGAAATAAAATGTGTGGTGGATATACTGATACATACATGGTACAAAATATTCTTTAATTGTATGAATATACTTTTAAAGAATTATAACTAAATATAGCTTTTAAAGAATTATAACTAAATATAGCTTTGTAAAGAAATGTACATAAAAATATAAAATATTCTTTACTTTTTAAATCTTAAAACAATGCACTTAAGTCAAATAGCTCCCTACGAATGGCTAATGGATGGAATCGAAGACAGTTGCAGAGCGTGCATACACGTGGACTGCCAAATCCCCAGGGTGCCGATACCAGGCAATGTCAAATACCTCTTTTGTTGCATCACTAGTATATCTCAAAGGACGCGACAGGGCTGTTGTAAATTTTAAACGTTTCTCATCATAGCTGAAAAATCTAAATACAGTGGAACCCCGGTTAACGAACGTTCTGGTTAACGACCAAATCGGTTAACGAACTTTTATTTTGCAAAAATTTTGTCTCGGGTAACGAACAAAATTCGGATAACGAACGTAACGGTATTTTGTGTCAAATTTTAGTTGGTGTTAGGCATGCGCGAGTTAAGCATTGCTTTTCCGAGTGTTTGTGCTATACTTCTTTTTTCAGTTTTGTGATTTATATATTTAATCAATATGGCATCCAAGAAAGAAAAAAGTCATAGTGGCAATAGAAAACGACAACGCAATATAAACGACAATGCGCTATCGCATTTGAGAAAAATTTTGATTAAAAGAGTAAGACAATCAACTTTAGATCAATTTCTTGTTCCTTACGGAAAGAGTTTGTTTCTTTGTTAAGTTATGGCAACGCAACACTTGGGCGATCTGACTAGGGGGAATGCCTTCTGGGAGGTGTTTTTAAGGGAAACTGGCCCCTATTTAGGCGTTACAGACGTGGAGAAATCCCGGAAAACTCCACGTGGCCAGCCCGTCTGAGCGAGGTGCGAACCCACGAACGAACTCCCCGTGTTCAAGGTACGAAGACCACTTAGCCACTGGTGGGTTTTTACCGAAAGAGACTTCGACACGAAGACTCTTCCGATGAAGTGCTACCCGTTATTTTTTTGGAGGGATTCCCGTTCTAAGCATTAATGTTCGTATATCTCCACTTTTCTGCCACCAACTACAACAAACGAAGGTATTATTAAACAAAGTTTACATGTTTGTTGCTGTAATGATAGATACTACGTTTTCCTACATTTTCATCAAAGAAAATTACTGTATATTTCAAATAAAATGACAAAAATTTCGGAGACTAGAACGGATTAATTGCATTTGCATTAATTTCTATGGGAAAAATTGCTTCGGTTAACGAACAATTCAGTTAACGAACGGAGTCGCGGAACGGATTAAGTTCATTAACCAGGGTTCCACTGTATGTTAAACTTAACAATCATTTTTTTTCTAACTAATTCATTTTAGGACCAAGAAATCCTCAGAAATTTCCAAAATTTACAACTTTTCGAAA